GGAGGGGCAACGGAGCCCGGGAAGCACGGCGGGGGTGTCCGGCGGGGGTGGCGGCCCCTTCTTCGGGACGCAGAAGCGATCTGGCGACAGGTAAGTCGCCAGGATCGCTTCTGTTGTAAAGCCGACAGTCGGCTCTACAAGTTTAAACAGAGTCCCGGCGGCAAAAGTCACCGGGAGTCTGTTTAAACAGCCCCGATGCTGGCGACGTACACTGTACGTCGTCAGTCACGAAGGGGTTAAAGATGTGTGGACCACAGACTGGACAGTTTTGATTTCACAGCACAAATGAAGTCATACTGAGGAGATTGATAGACTTGCGCTTCCAAAGAGGTACAGGAAAGCACAATCACTGCACAGCACACATGCAGGAGGGGTAGTGAGGCTGCAGGGACTGGTCTAGCAGCTAGCTGGCTCTGTGGTTCAGGTGAGTACAACTTTTTTCATCTCTAGAAAAAAAACAAGCACTTAACCCTTGTAGTGCCAGGGTAGCTCCACTCCAAAGGATAAGAAAATGTGTGCCTGGAGGTTGCCATATGGTCAGCCAGATGAAATGCTCTCAGGAGATTTTACAGTATATCTAAAGCCAAGAACAATCATTATATTGCAGTTTACCAGTCCTCCAATGTGGTGGTGTCAGTGACATTTTTACCCATTGATCTTGCAAGAAATGCAGTGTCCTTATAACTTTCTGTAAACTGACTGAAATGAGATCTCAAACAATATTATCCCCTCCAAACATCCTCTGTACATGCCCATGTAATAGAGACAAAGAGAGCAGGGGGTATTTGCAGTCCAAATCTGAAGAGCGGCCTATGGTGACAACGCTACACCTTTAGATACAGTAGAGTGTCAACTTCCAAGAACAAGAAGGTTTTACTGGCAGAATCACCAAGTAAAGATAAAGTAAAATAATGCAGCCACCACATCTAAGGACCGATAAACCTTCATATACTCCCATTTCAGGTTAGATAGGTTTTAAATTATTAGCCCATTATGAGTCAGTAATCTCTCCTGTCTGACTACAATTTCTGGCATCCTTCCAGAAGTATATCAGCACTCCATCCCAGTGCACACATACCTTCTCTCTATTCATGCTGTCAGCCAAAATGTCCTGCCCCTCCGCCCCATACAGGCTGGAAGATCACAGGCTTATCGAGCTTAGGAAGATTTGTCTGCGCCTGCTTTACTATCTGCACGGTCACATTTCAGCACCAACAGCCTATAAAGTTTCCTTTTCTGGCTTATTGTGCAGTCAGGCCCGCTTGACAAGTAAAGAGAATAATGTATTCGAGAATTTGGCATTATTATTGATTTATACTAAGGTTTGTGCTCAACACTGTACCAGCAGCATGCTGGGGAGCCGGACCACAGAGCACAATAGTGCAGGTCTCTAGTGGCCTAAAATTCCCCCTGTACAGTACTTAATAGGGCTGTTACTGATTAAAATGTTCGTGTTCGATTAATCGAAACTTTTGAAATTGATTAATCGATTAATTATAACGCACATACAGATCACACTAATCCAGCACGTTATTAATCTCACGTGCCCCACTCAATATGGCCGCCACTTGAGTGGGGGAACTCAGATTAATAACGTGCTGGATTACTATGATCCTAGTTCATTTTATGACTTTATTGCTGTGCTGTATGTGTATAGGCCAATGCCTTGGCTGGCGCTTGTGCAGAAAGTTTCTTGGGCAATCTGAAAAATAAATCAAACAAACTCTTACGTGGGGTATTGCTCATATCAAAATTATCAATTTACAAATAGCCTTTTCTACAGCTTGTACTCATAGTGTATATAGGTGCATACCGTATATACTCGAGTATAAGCCGAGATTTTCAGCCCATTTTTTTGGGTGAAAAGTGCCCCCCTCGGCTTATACTCGAGTCAGCACCAGGTGTCTTCTTACTTACCTCGCCGAGCGTCGCGTCACTGCTGCTCCGGTGTGCGGCGCTCCGAGCGTTTAGCTGCCTCATTTCCCACCCTCGGCTTATCTTCGGGTCAATACTTTTTCCCATTTCTTTGTGGTAAAATTAGGTACCTCGGCTTATATTCGGGACGGCTTATACTTGAGTATATACGGTACTTTATATATTATGGTCAATCTGCCTTAAATACATCATGCCTAAAATGCACTGGTGCTTTGCTTGACTTGTAATAAAAACCAAACAGTCTCCAACAGACCCTAACAGACAAAGAGACTTTAAGGGTTGATTTTATCCATCCATATTGTTACAGATACAACGGTAAAGTATCATTGCTAAACGAAGGGGGGGAGTCCGGTGACGTCACGGACATCGGGGGAGCAAAAGTAGACACCCTCTAGAAGGAAGGACAGTGTCAGCACCAATTCAGAGATTATTTGAGGATCTACAGCCGAGTGATACACAAATAAGGTCCAGTATTGTTAATAGTTAAGGTACTTGAATGCATTTTTAAGGTTTAACTCCTGAGATTAGTGTCACTTTAAAGAAAACAACTTATAGTACCGTAGCTTCATATGAATAATGTATGAGTTGTCTGTCACTGCATTATCTGTACAAATGAAAGCTATATGCTGCTCATAGTTCTCTGAAATTTCTACCAGTAATCCTAACCGCAGGGCCCTTCTATGTTTCTAGCATGAAAGTGAAAATTCTGGTATGTCTGGCCAAAATCATGAGATGCTTGACCCCAGAGCAGAACGGCCTGATCACATGACACATACTCGGGTAATTGTAGTCATCATACAAACCAGTTTTTCTGTTACAACCTTATGTCTGAACTTAAAATAAATTACAATGTAAGTATAGACACACATAGGGCACTCAAAAAGGAACATAGCGCGCGTGTGTGATTATAATGCATCGTCTTGTGGATTATAACACGCCAAAACATGACGACTAGAAAAACTGACCTCCTGAAAATAATAGAGCTACTGATAAACCGAAGCAGGCTAATTATATACCGATATATATATATACACAGGGCTTGAAAAATTTGGCGGTGTCTCACCAGTCAGTCAAAAATTTCACCAGTCAGCATGACCGGATTATAGCCTTGCAATGTATGTTAAAAAATTTGGGGGACAGATAGAGCTTTGTTTTGTGACCCCACGGGGGGTTATTTTTTTGAACTATATAATGAAAAAAGTACCATAAATGTTAAAAAAAAGTTTCCCTATGTTATAAAACATTTATTCTGCGCCTTTATATATATATATAGGTTTTTTTTAAATATGAAATGAAAATGAAATAATTTGAATGAAATGCTTTGTGGTTGATCTGGAGTTTTGACTTAATGCGGGTTCCATTTATCCGTAGCTCTATTGTATTACAATGTAAATGTCACCATCTATATATAATGCACATGAAATATTAAAAACGTAAAGATTCTACTTTGTCCCTCTACTACCAAACCATGTGTGTGGAATAGTGTTCTCTATGGAAAAGGACATCTATAGTGCTGCTGGACGCACAAATACAGGACTCTAGAAAACCTGAATGGAGTCAGGGAACTGGTGTCCACATCTTTCAATCAGAAGTGGCATTTTGATCCGGGTTGTATTTGTGCTGTATATTGGAAGCTGGTTGCCGAGCAACACACAAAGATGATTTAAACAGCCTTGTGCCAGGAAAATAATATTGGAAAGGGAAATAGGAGAATGAGGAAGTGCTCCTGCATGTAACAAAAAGCTGCATAGGACTTGTATGTCAGATGTATACAAAGAGTACATTGTAATACACACCATGCATTATGGAGTGTCAGAGGAAGTGTCCCCGTCACCCCACAGCTACAATATATATTCCAGACCCCCGAGGCACACACTGTGTACACCTCTGAGTTATGGGAAGGTCACGGTTTCTTACACAGCCCATATAATCCATATACACCGACACCAGACTTCTGATAATGATCAGAAAACCGGACGGCTAAACTGTTCTTTGGAAGGACTGTTTTGTAAACACGCGGCGCTGTGTACGTGCACGTTCATATGCCCAGCAGCCATTGCTGGTGACTTCCTTAGTTCAAAGGACAAGTGCAGAAGATTGAAAAACAATATTGTGACAAATGCAATGTATCATTTACCAGAAGATTTTTTGGTCAGGGGGTAAGCATCGGAGAACCCGTACAAAGTGTTTCCAGGTCTGACCGCAATCAGTCAGAATGGGGAACAATTATCTCATGCCTGTAGACAAACTCGGATGCTGACCGCACACAAGGCTATTTTATCCAGCTTCTGATCTACAAAAATAAGCAAATTAAAGCAGACCTCTGGGCAAGTCAAATCTTAACCCTTGCAGTGGTGCTACCCCACACTGCAAAGTTTAAGTGCTCGTTTTGTCTATTCTCACCTGGCTGGCTTCTCCTCCTCTCCAGCAATGGTATGCCCCTTGGCACCCACATGTGCACTACAGTGAGCTTACAATGCTGAAGCAGGGGTGGAGCGAGGTTGGAGGGACCGGTGTAGGAGCCAGCTGAGATCGTGGTTCTGGTGAGCATACCTTTCTTTTATCTACCTAGACAGAACGAGCACTTAACCCCTGCAGAGCAGGGAGAGCCCCACTGCAAGGGTTAAGATTTAATTTGCCCGGAGTTCTGCAACCTACCAACCACCTGATTATAGATATATCATGAAATGATTGAAGCGTTGCTGGTAGATTCCCTTTATCCCCTTGGTTTTGTAACTGAAAGCTGGTTGAAGCTGCCTGAGTTGAATCAGATAGAATAAGTTGTCACCTTAGCAATGTCCTCCTCCAGCACTGCTACCGTCCTCCAGAAGTGCATATGTTTAAGTCACACATCCACAGACAATCCCACGCCAACCCTTGGCAATATCTGGGTCTGTCAATCACTCAGGAAGTACCAATGGGACCAATACCAAGAAGAGACTTGGCAGGAGTCTGAGTGACACTAGAGGGGACATCGCTATGGTGAAAAACAAGAGCTGATGATGTCTGATACCAGACGCAGCTCTTAGCTCAATGGTGGTCAACTTACATAGAGGACCTGAGCTGTGGCCCCCTGACATTACCAAGGGGCTGCACATATTGTTCAGTATAAGTAATGCTACAGAAGACAGGCAAAGTGAGCGGGCGCCCCGCAGCAGACGGCCAGAGAGAGCGGGCGCCCCGCAGCAGACGGCCAGAGAGAGCCGGCGCCCCGCAGCAGACGGCCAGAGAGAGCCGGCGCCCCGCAGCAGACGGCCAGAGAGAGCCGGCGCCCCGCAGCAGACGGCCAGAGAGAGCCGGCGCCCCGCAGCAGACGGCCAGAGAGAGCCGGCGCCCCGCAGCAGACGGCCAGAGAGAGCCGGCGCCCCGCAACCAGATGGCCAGAGACCTCTGGTGTGTTGCTGTAGAGGAAATATCCAAGGTCCTGAAGCACACCTTACCGGAATTCCCATAGGCAAAAGTGAGTGCTCGCAATGACTGCAGATGGCGCCGCATTAAAGCAGAAATCGCTATAAGAATATGTCACCAGCACTCCAGAATGACAAACAAGTCAATTTTAGTGAATCTCCATTTTTTATTTTGTAAGAGGTCACTCAAAGTAAAGTCAAGTTCTTTCGGGGCCGCGCAGGGTCCCCTTCATCAGGCTTATGTTTGTCATTCTGGAGTGCTGGTGACATATTCTTATAACGATTTTTGCTGTAGAGGAAGGGGCTGCCTCCAGGTAATTTGCACTCTGCATTGCTGGAAACTCTTTGTAGAGTTGGGGAGCGCACCCATCAGAGGGGCCTTGACATGGTAGTGTGACTTCCATGTGTATTTGGAATCATATGTAACTGGAGTCATTAGAATGGTTCAGTCAGTGTTTCCATCTACCAGCTTGGAAGTGGGTCAGAGACCTTTCGTATAGTTCATTTCAATCAGATCAGAGCGGCTGCCATGACTGCTTTTATGGTCAGGGAGTATGGACACTACATGAAATAGTCACAGGCTGCGTGGGGCATATTCCTTTCCCACACCATTATGGAATCTACCATGTGATTAAGAGGGGGCTACAATGATTGGTCACAGTGTGTCACATGGATAAGATTTGTCGCCAGCACGCTGATTAGCTTGTTACACAGTGAAAGGCTCTGTAAACTTGTCTGATCACATAGAATAGCAATGTTTAGGGATCACATGGGGAGCCTTCCTCAGGCCACAGGAAAGGTCCGGAAAGCTTGCTTTTCTATGTGTTATAGGTATCATGTGTATAGCTACAACTATTCCATTTAGTCGATTAAAATCAACGATGGAAAACGTTGTCAACGGTTTCCATCGATTAAAATGTCAATTTCCCGCTCGCCGCGCTTACCGCACACGCCGCTCAAGCCGTGCACACCACGCCGCTCACATGCGTCTGCTCCTCTCCTCCCGATGAGCTTCCTGACTCGCCGCTGCCCGCCAACAATCAAGGGCCCACCATCATTCAAAGTAAGTCACTCGAGATACCTTTTTAATGTTTCCTGTTTTGGGTTTTTTTAAAAGCGGCACACTGCAGAACATTAGCAGCTATAGAGGAACAGCAAAGCCCAGCATTAATACATTATACAGGGTGTATAATGTATTATAGCTGGGATTTGTAGTCCTCTATAACTGGTCAGTGGTATTCTCCATTGCGTCGTATAATCATTATACAGCGCAATGCAGAATGGCACCAGCTATAGAGGACTACAAATCCCAGCAATAATACATTATATACAGCACAATGCAGAATACCAGCAGTTACAGAGGACTACAAATCCCAGCAATAGTACATTATAGTATAATGTTGTACTATTGCTGTCATTTGTTGTATTCCTATATAGCTGCTGGTATTCTGCATTGCTCCGTATAATCATTATACAGCGCAATGCAGAATACCACCAGCTATAGGAGGACTACAAATCCCAGCAATAATACATTATATACAGCACAATGCAGAATAACGCCAGCTATGGAGGACTACAAATCCCAGCAATAGCACATTATAGTATAATGTACTATTGCTGCGATTTGCTGTATTCCTCTATAGCTGCTGGTATTCTGCATTGCGCCGCTGTATAATGTACTATATTGCACACCACACTTTTTTACTTCCACCGATCCAAGCTTGATCCCGTGATGGACTACAATCTCAATACAAACTAGTAGTCCATCAATGGAGCCTTTTTTTAAAAATCCGATCAAACTTAATAATCGGCTAACTAATCGATTTTGAAAATAATCGTTAGCTGCAGCCCTAATCATGTGATCATGCAAAATTAAAGAGCTTTTCACTTTGTAACAAGCAAGTCACCGGCTGCGGGGACACACAGGGCACATTTACAGATTGGGGACAAAAATACACAAGACTGATCACTGCTCTTACATAGTGCCTTTAGAAATCAATGCTTTAACTACTGACTGTGGGGGTCCCAGGCCTGGAGGTCAGACATCACAGCTGTCTCACATACAGAATTTGCTTTAACACAAACCTGCAGTGATCAGACATCTGCAACATGACTCCCCATACCGAATCTTTATGGTAGGCATCCTGACAGCACAGCCAGAGCCTGCACACACATCCCACGTGACAGTTCCCGGCCTGTTGATAGGTCAATCAGGTTCCTAGTATGCCCGTGGTCCTCCTATAATCCGGAAGTCGGGACATTTCAGTGGCTCTGATGTCACTCCCAATGTGATGTTCAAATCCATGTCAATGGCGCTGTCACCTCATGTTACCCACTCTAAGCAGGAAGCGGTATTCCCCCACTCCAGGTTCATTATATGAGCAGAATAATGTCCTCTCACCTCGGCCCGGGCCACCGGCTCCGGTCTCTGCGGCAGCGGCGGCTCCCTGTGTGTCCCTTCATCCTCCTGTATGGCCCGGCTCAGCGCTGGAAGGGCACACAGGATGAGCAGTACCAGCGCTGGGACTGGCGGCCTCGCCATTGAGCCGGGCGGGGAGGTGAGCGGAGAAGCACAGGGGGTTACAGCTGCCGGGTGCTCGTCGTTCTTCGTCCTGTCCCAGCACCGAGCTCACAGACCCCGCCCCTCTGCCATCGTCACCGGCGAAGCATCGTCCCGCCCCCCGTCGCAGTGACGACACCCAGCAGCCCCACGCGGATTGGTCAAACAGCCACTGTTCGGAAGAGGATGTGCGTCAGGGACTGTAGGAGGAAGTGTTCGCTGCTAGAGACGATAATGAGCTTTGCAGGGCCGCCATTTTTCTGACTGCTATGTGCTGCTGACACGTAGGGTAGCTTGGTAGTAAATGTAATGCTTCCGTAATGGTCCCGTGAGCATAAACTAGGAGTCTAGGGATTACAGCGAATCAGGGAAGAGTACAGAGCCACGTGACTAGTGAAGAGTCGTGCGGAAGTGGTGTGTACAGCGGAAGCTCGGGGGTCTGTTGCCCATTGTAGGCTTTGTTATAATGATCGCCTGTCCTATTTATAAAGAAGTTACTCTGATTTTCACCTTCAGATGGAGTGGATATAATTACACATATACATTGAATTGCTGTCATCCAAAGAGTATGCAGTGGTGAAATGTGTTAATGAGACGGAGGTCTAATATTCTAGAATTATAAACATACAAAATTAGTTTATTGGTAAAAACTAGGCAAAGACAGCCACAGAATATAAACTCTCATGTATAGATTATGCTCAATCAAACACTTGAGCTTGTTCATTTCATATTGATACGTCTTAAACATTACATTACACGCAAAATGGTCTACTCATTTTGTAGAATCAATCTCCTGCTCCGGGGCCAATATGAAACGTCTTAATTATATTTAGTAATCCTTACAGATATAATTCCGCTGTCTTTACATCGATCTTCAGCAGCAGTGGCGGACCTAAGGAACAAAGGGCCCTGGTGCAAGATTTTTTTTTGGGCCCCCCCCAAAAAAACCCCACAAACACAGTGCTCTCCTCCCGCAGCGCTCGGCCGGCTGTCACTTTCTCTCCTCCCCGCTGGGACACAGAGCAGCGCCCAGCGGGGAGGAAAGAAAGCAGGGATGCACCGCTGTATCGGCAGAAAAATGCCACTTTCAGCATTTAGCCAAAAGTGCCATTTCCGGCCGATACCTTTTGGCGGCCGATATATCGGTGCAACCCTAATATTTACAGCAATGCAGAATGCCACAGGCTGTATAGGACTACACATCCCAACAATACTTTATATAACAATAGCATTTCTGTATAAAGTACTGCTGAGATTTGTAGTCCTCTATAGAGGGTGCCATTGTGCATTGCTGCAACAGTACTTTATACAACATTAGGCTACAAATAATTATTATTTTTATTAATTATTTACCCCGTACCTCTTCTGGCCGGTTCCCCCCATCTCTGCGCCAGGAGTGTCGGATGAACGGATGATCAGACACTCTCGCCGGGGAAAAGTCACTGTCCAAATCTTGCCGCCTTCACCTCAACATTTCCAACATATGCCCCTTATTAACAAATGACGCCACTAAGCTACTGATCCACTCCCTTGTTATATCGCGCCTTGACTATTTGGACTCTCTCCTTGTTGACCCACCTCTACACAGGCTATATCTACCTCAGTCCATCATGAATGCGGCTGCCAGACCCATTCATCTTACCAACCGCTCAGTGTCTGCAACCCCACTCTGCCAATCCCTCCACTGGCTTCCAGTCACCCAAATAATACAATTGTTAACACTACCACTACCATACAAAGCCATCTATAACTCTGCCCCTGCTATGTAATCATCCTCATCATAAGATATCACCTAAAATGTCCTCTGCACTCCTCCCAAGACCTCCTGCTCTCTAGCTCCATCATCAACAACTCCCATGCTCGGCTCCAGGACTTGTGCAGAGTATCTCCCATCCTCTGGAACCCCCTACCACAACCTATTCGGCTATCTCCTACTCTCTCCACCTTTAGGCGATCCCTGAAACCGCATCTCTTCAGGAAAGCCTTACCCAGCCTCTTAACTAAAAAGCTTCTCCATCAGCTCGTCTCTCACAGTTACCACTTTTTGTATCACTTGCCCCTCCCTTTAGATTGACTGTCTGTCTTGCATGGAATTGTATTGTGACTGTACTGTCTCCTTTTATTTTGTGAAGCTTTGCACAAACTGTTGGTGCTATATAAATCCTGTATAATAAGGTAACGAAAGGAGTGTAATAGTACTTTAAAGCCTATCTCCAGGGGAATAAAAACCTCCCTTTGCAGCAGGGCTACACCCACGCTACAAGGGTTAACTGTTCGTTAATTTTTAGGGGACCAGTGTACACTGTGTGTATGGAGGAATCTCCCACTGGGTCAAGCTTCACTATCTTGCTAGTCGGCCCCGCTGGTTGTCAAAGCACCTGAACATTGCCTGCATCCAATCAGATTGTTCAGGTATTTTGGCAGCCAGCCGGGCCAACTAGCAAGATACTGAAGCTTGACCCAGCGGGAGATTCCTCCATCCACACAGTGTAGCGTAGATGGAGGAATCTGTTGCACTTTTTCCATCTGACCATAGAAAGTCTGCAGATAATCTATAGGTGTATGGCCAGTTTAAGGAATGACAAGTGTCTACAATGATCTTAATTAGGTCAACATCCTGGAATGCAACCAAGGTGTAATTAAAGTAGACGTAAACCCTAACTAGATATTTAGTTTGCTAAAGCACTCTGTATGCATAAACAATTGCCCTTTTTTAATACAATACTGGTTATACCCTTTTTATTGCATCTCCAGCTTTGGCTAAATATCATTGCACTGGTTTGACTTTTTGATAGTGACAAAAGTCGACTGTTTCTATGTATATGTGTTGCTACAACTAACTGCAATCTCCATCAGGGGCACATGTGACAGGGTAACAGCGAGCTTGCATGAGTAACAGTGTAATGGTTTACACCTGATAGCATTTTGCACACACCCGTGGCACTGTGACATATGACATCATGTGAACGCTCCAGAGATTCTTCATTCTTCAGTAAGACGACAGATATTTAACCAGAATAGATATTCATCTGGTGAATAGCTCAAGCTGTAAAATGGCTAACACAAAGGTCATTATTATTTGAGCTAGTGCTTTCAAATCAGAATAAATGTTTACTTGAATTATATGAACACAGAATGACACACATGACTAACATATTTTCTTTTTGGCTTATAGGATTAAAAATAGCCAACATAAAGACTTTAAAGGCTGCTAACTATTATCCCCCCTGAAAACTGTAACAGCCAGGCATTGTTCTGCCAAACGGTAAACTGTTCCCTTTTCAAGAAGAAGGTGTGACTAGGGCAGCCTGGAATGTGCAAGGCTGGGACAGGGTTTACATCTCCGGATGTCCTTTGTGGATCATCAACTCTTATGTAGTTTGGAGACACAATTCTGAAGTGCCTGCGTGTTTATTAGCAGAATAGTTTTCTTTTTGAAAGGTCATTATCATATTTTTGTAAGGTTAGTATTTGAAAGTGCTCTTGCCACAAAAAAGGGGGCAGCTTTTGCTGACCTCCTTCTGAAAGTGCTAGGTGCTTGGCTGTTATGTTGACTTAGGCTGACTACTTTTGTTCCTGTGTGATGAAAAGTAGCCACCGCTGTAAGCTCACTGCTGGGATGGACTACAATCTCACGTTTAATTTACGAATATGTATTGAGATTGTAGTGGTGAATACTTTACAACCATGGAGAACAAAAGTAGCCACCCTCCAAAAGGAAGGCCACTGTCAGCATGAATTCAGAGATGATTTGAGGATCTACAGCCGAGTGATACACAAATAAGGTGCATTTTTGTTACTAGTTAAGGTATGTGAATGCATTTTTAAGATTTCACTCGAGTGTAGTATCACTTTAACAATCTAAGATTTCATGATGATATAAATTCCATTATTTCCAACACAGATGTTATTTTGTCAACCGAGCACCCAGACTGTCTTTATAGGTAGCCATGCTCTGAAGCCAGCCATAATAGTCACAGTTCCCTGCGATTATATTGTCTGGGCTCTCTGCAAAAAACCCCCAAAACAAACACAATCCCACCGATTCATATTTGCATGCTGCTCTTCTATACTTCTGCTTCTATGGTAGCATTGGAAAGCTTGTATAGAAGTTCACTTTTTAGAAGTCGGGGCCCTGGTCGTTGTGTCAAGCATCTCAACTGTACTATGCACTACTGGGATCTTTTGCACGGTCTGTTTTGCTAAGCCCAATTCAAAGCTGGTAGTGATTTAGATGGCACCTATACCTTTCCTAAATGAGGTACGTGTTGGCAGAAAATATTTAGCACTACCTGCGGGAATATAAGAGATGTGCAAAGCTCTCATTCTGATAATGCCATACAAAGTTTGTGGGCTTCATGAGGTTTCTTTTCTTTTCTATTAACTGCAAACGTATGACATGTTACCCTGTAGCCTCTGTTCTATATTCTTCCTTTATTTAGAAATGGCTTTGTATTAAATGTGTTCCTCTTTTATGTGAAAACACAGTTGCATAATAGATGTTGTTAGGTCTAACCACACTTGTCAATTTTACAGTCTGCTAGATCATGTGCCACAGAAATTGCAGTAAGTAAAATGTTGCAGATCCATTTATGAAGTCAGACTCCTAATTTTACTGCATGTTTGCCGAATGCGCTTAGCTTATAATGTAAAATGCCCCAGTTAGGACCCTGGCTCCCCATTTAAAATGGGACCAAAATATACGTTCTTGCAGTCACAGATCAAATTTTTTTTTTTAATTAAAAAAAGTCACATTCCATTGCAGAGAAAAAGATGTACACAGAATGCAAATGTACAAAGACTGATACTATAAAAGTGCAAGCTTTTCTTGAGCAAAACACAATTCAAGTCGATGAAAAGATCTCCCCATCAAGTTCCAAAATCATTAGCGTTACACAAGCATTAGGCCCATCATTTCTGTCTTTTTCCCTTTGGTCCTCTGTTTTATTTGTCTTACATTGTACTATATTCAAGTTAACATTAATACAAGAACACACAAAAGGAAAGCAGTTTTTTTTTAAGTTGAAAAAATGAAAAGAATTGCATGAGTGTATTGCACAAAAGACGGTCTCTTCTTTCCTATAGCTTAAAGGATATTTGTAGAATTGACAAAGTAAAAGATTGTGAAATAATTTACTATTGTGAAACTATTTAGTGCAAATGTGAATTCTAACGATTTATCTTTATTTCAGATGTTTTAGAGCCAACTTGTCTACATGGGCCCCAAGCAGTGTGTTAACATTCAGGGGGTCTATATCTTATCACTCTGACTTACCCACTATTCTTCAGCTGGGATACTGGTAGGTGGCTCTGTGTTGTCCTGACCTGCAGTCGGAGTGAGCCAACCTACCTGTATCTCAACAGTACACTAGGCATACATGAGAGTGATGAGAAGGGATAGTGTGTAAACCCAGGAGTGCAAACTGAACACACCAGCCTGCTTTTACATAAAGCCCTGCAGTTGCCAAGATGTTCCAGTTATCCTACACACACAGTACTTCTTAATATCTGATATGTCCTCTAACATAAGGCATCTCAATGCTCAACTATCAAGCAGGAATTGAGGGTAGGGGGGTATGGTGGTGGGCGGGTCATGGAAACTGAGGCTGAGGGGCAATGTAGTATGTACAAAAAAAACCTGCACTCTGTCGCATTCCAGTCCTGGGAATTGCATTCCACCCTTTGAACTCAGTTTCTAGGTAGTTTTGGTCCACAGAGAAGGTCAGTCACTTAACTTGCTCTGTGACAGATCAGGGATAAGGAAGGAATGTCACTTTTCCACGGTAATCACTGCGACAAGACTGATAGGTTCATTTTTTTAAAGGCGTTACAAACAAAAATCACAAAAAGGCAAAGACTAAAGGAATCATTTATATTTGTGCAATGTGTTAACGCACGCACATTTACATGCACTGTCCCAATGCACTCCTGATTATATGAATGGGTTCCCTAATTCACAAAATAAAAGGTGCATGCACCGTTTTTAGTGGGACACAGTAGTGCAGCACAGCACACAGACGTTAGTTACGGAGCACTGCAACGCAGGTGCTATGGGAAGTTGCAAAAGGGATGCTATTCAATTACATGCATTGTCACATGTTGCAACAGTGTGAATCCGGCCTAACTTCTTGCATGTTAGTCTGTGCCCTTCATTTTACATGCAGGTAAATCCTTTTGTAGAGGTTCCTGATACTTCTTACTGACCTAGGAGGTCTATATGCACCTAAACGACAACAGGACAGGCAAAACTAATTTTGCATTATAAATCAGATTTCTTTTTTCCAACTTAATTTAGCAAAAATGCACTATTCATAAGGCAAAAACAACCTTTAAGCATTAGGTTAAAAAAACAAAAACATAACAGTTTTGGCCTGGCTGTGCAATAAGGTTAGCAAATGATTTAACCTTTTGTATGCAAGCAGATTATATAGTGTTGTGTGGTCTTGTGGCACTTTGGGGGAAAACAGCCATGACTATTTTTCTTATGGTTTTCATAAACCTGAAGGTGTGCGTTATGATCCTCCTGTATGGCAACATTACCCATGGATAAGGTGATTTGGCATCAAGAAACTCAATACTGTAACAGAGTAATACAAAATTCCATTAACATGTGATTTCTGATCTGGGGGGGGGGAGACTTTCTTCAAGTGCTACAGTTCGTCTCCCTGTCCCAGCATACTCAGCCTAAGAAGTCACCACTAAATCAATACGTATAGCGCAGGGTGGCAGTGCGCCAAAACTGGTAACACGCTACCAGATGTAGAGTTAGAAGAAAGTATAAATGGATATTTTGACAATTAGCCCCCAAGATCTGTAGATCAGCTCTTTGTGGAATTTTTCATTAAAGCTTAACCATAGTCAAAACTTTTTTAAATAATTTGGCAGTGTGGGGAAGGGTTAGAATCTGTCAAGTTTTTTTTATTGCCGTGTCTCTGTTGGAGAGTATGCACCCCATTTCTTGTACCGATGACTACACAGTGGTGAAGGGTGTCACCCCAATGGTCTGCCACGAGATATCTCCCAAATGGGGTAACAGATTGCAATAACAACTGACAGGTTTTAACCCCTCACCACTATACTTTTGTCTAAAACACACACAAAAAACAAACTTGGCTATAGCTCAGCTTTAAATACTTGTCTGTAAGTGCAACAACGTTTTATTATGGCCCTTTAAAACACATATGGTATGAAAGCTGTCCTGTGAGCAGGATAATTATCAAACTTCTCATGATAGAATTCATGACATAAAATAGCAGCCAATGACTGGTTAAACAACACAAACATAACCACCAGCCACCATGTTGTATGACCCAATCCAAACAGTACAGAGATGGATATATAAATCAGCAACTCCGCAAAGTAATGTGGACAAGACACCCTCTCAAACCAGTCTCCACTGGGTACAATATGGTTCATGGTTACAACTTTTCCTGCAACAAAAACAAAACATACCGTACATTAGTAGATTGTCTAATAATCATCTGTTTGTAAAAGATACAAAAAGGCAAACAAAGTGTTTTCCCCCATAGTTCTCTTAAGGGTCACGGGAGGACATATACTAGCCTCCTCCCGTGACCCAAAGCTCAGTATATCGCGAGCTACAGCTCGCAATATAATGAGAGCGCCGCAGCCGGGACGGATTCCGACATTACTGTAGAGATCCACCCAGCTGCGTGAGTGACACCTGGCTCTGCCTATCTAGAGACGAGCCAGCTCTACCCTCCGTCTGTTCCTCCACTCAGCGCTAGAGGATCGGACCGGGGAGAATCCCTGCAGGGAGCCGTGACAGTCACCACTCTCTGCAGGGAAATGATCGAGGACTGAGCGAGCGACGGTATGCGTTTGCTCACTTCCCGACCTATTATGCTGACGTGTGACAGTTCCATTGTTACACGTCGCCTCGAACTATGAGGATGAGTGATTTTCACTCACCTCATAGTTCTCCTTTAACCACTTGCCGTCCGCCTGTTGTAAAAAAACGGACGGACGGCACTGCAGCATTGGTGGGTAGCGGGCGCGCACGGGCAGAAAAGACCCGACCAATGCAAACACCCGTTACCGGGTGTTTCACATATAGACGATCGGCGGCTCCATAGCCCGCCGATCGTCTATATGCGCTCGTTTTTTCGCCCCCCACGCGGCCGCCATTTTTTTGCCCCCCTGACCCGTCACCTTCAATCCCGGGATCCGCTACCCCATCTGCGGCCCGGGACCGGCTCGGAGGGCGTCAGGAGGAAGAGGACGGGAGATCAGCTCCTTGCTGATCTCCATCCGGGCTGTGAATGCAGAAATTATGTGTGTTACATCACTTCCGCATTCACCTGTCAGTCATCTGGCTGCTATAGCCAGAGAAAAGAAGCTGATGAAGCAGATCTCTGCTTCATCAGCTTCTTTTGGGGTCCACAGGTGACATTAGGGGTCCTAGAGACCCCTAATGTCTCCATAAAGAGGACCTGTCAGTGTGCCTTTGCTATTATATAGGGGGATTGTTATCCCCCTATATAATAGCAATAACAATAAGTGCAAAAAAAATTATATATAAATTAAAAAAAATAAGTCACATATAAAAAAAAAGTTTTAAAAAACCCCCCGAAATGTTTAACTCCCCCACCCCCACGCAGATATAAATGTAAATACGCGTCCAGTGCACCAGCGCGCAAAAATGACAATTGTGCTACACATGTTACATATCGCCGCGAACGTCGCAGTGAGAGCAATCATTTTAGGGCCATCAATCACTGATAACACTAAACTGATGAGCGGTAAAAGCTTATAAAGTGTCGCCTATGGCCAATTTTGGGTATTATCGTTTTTTGAGGTTAAAGGCGCGCACGCAATTTTAAGGCTTGACATGTTTGGTGTCTTTTTACCCGATGTGACCCCGTCTTTTATATTTTACCAAAATATTGGGTAATAATAAAATGTTTTATCATTTAATATAGGGGGAACTGTTTTTTTTTTTAATTTCGGTAATTTTTCCTTAATATAGTAAAAAATAAAAACCCCCAGTGGTGATTAAATACCACCAAAAGAAAGCTCTATCTGTCCCTAAAAAAATGGTATAAAATTAATTTCAGTACAGCATTACATGAGAGAATAAATGTCAGTCAAAGTACCGCAGCGCTGAACACTGAAAAATGGCCTGGATGGGAAGGGGGTTTAACACCGCGGATGTCAACTGGTTAAGGAAATAGAACATGAGCACACATTTCTTTGCAGTCTTTAAAAATAGATAAGTGTCCATTGTGAGCAGGTCAGGTTCCTGTGTGTAGGTGTCAAAATTCTCACATCAAACAGTACAAATCATTTGTGCAGCTTGCACCACGATTCTGATGTGTAGATCGTTGAGTGAGATTAAATCTTCATGTTCAACAGAGGAGCCTGGGGTAGCTGGCAGAGCACAAAATGCCGCACCGTACAAGCAAAACAGCCGCCGGATTGCTTATATCTGAACAGCAATCGCCTGCTGTTTAAAACAATACCAAGAACATGGTTGCAGAAGCAGCCGTGTTCTTGGTATAACTACCTCAGGACAGGGCGCTATTTGACGGTGGGCGGTCCTGAAGTAGTTAAGCACTAAGAAAATTTACCAACCCTATGCAAGGATTTCATACATACTTCAAAAAACCTTTTTACATAAAGCACACTGATCTTGTGGTTTGGATTTTTACATATAATCCAAGGTGACACTAAACTCAGGAGTTAAAACTTTAAAATACATTTTTGGTATTTAAGGTACTTGACTGTATCTTATTTGTCTATCACTCGGCTGTAGATCCTCAAATCATCTCTGAATTGGTTCTGGAGGGTGGCTACTTTTGTTCCCCATGGTCCCTGTATGTGTTCTAAAGTAGTCACCACTCCAATCTCACTCCCTTGATGATGGACTACAATCTCATGTTTAGTTTACTAATTTGTATTGAGATTGTAATCCATCACTGGAGAGATCTTAGAGTGGTGGCTACTTTACAACACACACAGGGACCATGGGGAACAAAAGTAGCCACCCTCCAGAAGGAAGGACAGTGTCAGCACCAATTCAGAGATGATTAGAGGATCTTGGATCCCGGGACCGGCTCCGAGGGCGTCAGGAGGAGGAGGACGGGAGATCAGCTCCTTGCTGATCCCCGTCCGGGCTGTGAATGCAGAAGTGATGTGTATTACATCACTTCCGCATTCACCTGTCAGTCATCTGGCTGCTATAGCCAGAGAGAAGAAGCTGATAAAGCAGATCTCTGCTTCATCAGCTTCTTTTGGGGTCCACAGGTGATATTAGGGGTCCTAGAGACCCCTAATATCTCCATAAAGAGGACCTGTCAGTGTGCCTTTGCTATTATATAGGGGGTTGTTATCCCCCTATATAATAGCAATAACAATAAGTGCAAAAAAAATAAATATAAATAAAAAAAAATAAAAGTAACACATAAAAAAGTAAAATAAAATAAAAGTCACATATAAAAAAAGGGGAAACCACCCCCCCAAAATGTTTAACTCCCCCACCCCCACGTTTACGCGCCTATAAACGTAAATACGCGTCCGGTGCCCCAGCGCGCAAAAATTACAATTGCGCTACACATGTTACATATCGCCGCGAACGTCGGAGTGAGAGCAATCATTTTAGGGCCATCAATCACTGATAACACTAAACTGATGAGCGGTAACAGCTTTTAAAGCGTCGCCTATGGCCAATTTTGGGTATTATCGTTTTTTGAGGTTTCGCGCGCGCACGCAATTTTAAGGCTTGACATGTTTAGTGTCTTTTTACCCGACGTGACCCCATCTTTTATATTTTACCAAAAAATTGGGTAATAATAAATGTTTTATCATTTAATATAGGGGAAACTGTTTTTTTTTTTTAAATTTCGGTAATTTTTCCTTAATATATTAAAAAAATAAAACCCCCAGTGGTGAATAAATACCACCAAAAGAAAGCTCTATCTGTCCCCAAAAAAGGGTATAAAATTCATTTCAGTACAGCGCTGCATGACGGAATAAATGTCAGTTAAAGTACCGCAGCGCTGAATACTGAAAAATGGCCTGGATGGGAAGGGGGTTTAACACCGCGGATGTCAACTGGTTAAGTAATGTATACAAAAACACAATAAAAAAAAAATTATTATATATTATATGCAGCATCAGGGGTCCCTGGTTTTTGAACCATGGACCCCAATCTGCAAGGAGTTTGCATGTTCTCCCTGTGCTTGTGTGGGTTTCCTCCCACACTCCAAAGACTGGTAGGTTAACTGGCTCCTGTATAAATTGGCCCTGTATGCATGCATTTGAGATAAGGAGCTTACAATCTAAGGTCCCTAACGGCAGGGACTGATGTGAATGTGCACTGTGTATAAAGCGCTGCGTAAAATTGTCAGTGCTATATGAAATACCTTACCTGCGCGCGGGAAACACAGGCGATTTAAAAACAGGCACCGATGCCTGTTAACATACAAGCGATCCGCCGGCTATAGAGCCGGTGGATCGCTTGTGTGAGCTGCCGGCATACGGCCTCTGTCACGGGATCAGAGGGAGCTCGGTACACGAAATCAAACCCCAGTGGTGAATAAATACCACCAAAAGAAAGCTCTATCTGTCCCCCAAAAAATGGTATAAAATTAATTTCAGTACAGCGTTGCATGACGGAATAAATGTCAGTCAAAGTACGGCAGCGCTGAATACTGAAAAATGGCCTGGCCAGGAAGGGGGTCTAAACACCTGGTCTTCAAGTGGTTAATATTTAAAAGGTTTTTTTTAATAAATATTACTCACCAGATGTATTTTTCCTCAGACTGGCAAGAATGACATGACATCTGTGCTGATGTATTGATGCCCAGATGTACAATACTGTCCCAATGATATGGTACCAATGAATTTGCAAAGCAAGGTCTGTAACAGTGACTAGAAGGGAGAAAAAAATAATACATTATCTATAGAGCAAATTCCAGCCTTAAAACACAAATGTGAACCTGAAAAGGCATCTTCCTGAACTGTAACCCCTTACTAGTGTCATCATAGGGTTGGGGCTGCACTGCACTGCCTTTGACAATGCATTTTGACCAGAAATAAAGTAGTAAAGTACAGCCAAGTAGAAAAATTAAAGAGGTCACGCTGCAGTTTAATGCCGAGCCACAGGAGGAAACAAATATTGACAGCAATCACTCAATGCAAGATTATTAGAAGTATCAATGGCTTGTTTTTCCTGTTTTCCAGAAGAGGAGCATCCTGTCTTCATCTGCTGTCCTTCTAGATGATAGAGCAAAGCCTGGTTTAGTAACACAGAGGTGTTCAGTAAAGATGTCATTGTGGAAATATAGAATAACAGAACAGGGGAAGAACTGTCTGCCCTTATGGTTTATCACAGTGATCTGTTGGGTGTGTTTTTGTTTTGTATTATTAGTATGTTGCCATTACCAATAAGGCCTCATTCACACACAACGCAAGAGCAATATTGTATAGTGCGTATATACGCTGACATGCGCGCGTATACGCATATAAGCGTGTATATGCGTGCACTATATGCAATCCCAGAATGCATCATTCATAATAGAAATTTTAGTGAACTGTACGCACGTATACGAGTGCAAACACACGCCTAAAATACGCTGCTCGGACGCATCGCGGTTCCATTCTGTTTTTGTACATTTTTAAGCTATGCAAATATATACGGCTCCATACGCAGCTATGTGTATGGAGCCATTTATTTGCATATGCTGCATATGGTACAATACGCACGTACATGCGCGGCAGTGTTAATGAGGCCTTAAGGGGTTCCTGGCTCTGGTTTGGGACCAAATTTAGGTAAGCCAATAAAAGCATCCTTTTTTTTATACCGTATATACTCGAGTATAAGCCGTCCCGAATATAAGCCGAGGGTGGGAAATGAGGCAGCTACTGGTAGATAGATACCAATAAAATTACATTAATATTTATTTAAAAGAAAAATAACCTAGCTCTGTAAGTGGAAAAGGGGGTACAGGGCTACATATCATGTACTACGGATCATTTAACCCATTCATGTTAGCAGAGGATCATTGTAAATGTATTGTCTGCACTGTATTAGCAGTATATACTCTATATAGAGTATATACTGCTAATACAGTGCAGACAATACATTTACAATGATCCTCTGCTAACATGAATGGGTTAAATGATCCATAGTACAGGGCTACATATCATGTACTACGGATCATTTAACCCATTCATGTTAGCAGAGGATCATTGTAAATGTATTGTCTGCACTGTATTAGCAGTATATACTCTATATAGAGTATATACTGCTAATACAGTGCAGACAATACATTTACAATTATACTAACCTGAATGGATTAAATGATCTGTATGTAGCCCTGTACCCCCTTTTCCACTTACAGAGCTAGGTTATTTTTCTTTTAAATAAATATTAATGTAATTTTATTGGTATCTATCTACCAGTAGCTGCCTCATTTCCCACCCTCGGCTTATATTCGAGACGGCTTATACTCGAGTCAGAGCCAGCGCGTCTTCTTACTTACCTCGCCGAGCGTCGCTGCTGCTGCGGTGTGCGGCGCTCCGAGCGGGGTCATCTGGCAGTCTCCGGGTCCTAATTTAGGTGGCCGGAGACTGCCAGATGACCCCGCTCGGAGCGCCGCACACCGAGCAGCAGTGACGCGACGCTCGGCGAGGTAAGTAAGAAGACGCGCTGGCTCTGACTCGAGTATAAGCCGAGGGGGGCACTTTTCACCCAAAAAAATGGGCTGAAAATCTCGGCTTATACTCGAGTATATACGGTACTCTAAAAAACCTGATTAGAGTGGACGTATTCCGGCAGAAGTACCGTATAGCACAAGAGGTTTGCACGGTTTACCACTGTGGCCCTCTTCATCGAGCTTTGCTTCCAGCAGCACATGCCATACAATAATGCAGGGGTGGGGTTGCTTATGGTATATTTATTAACATAAACATTAGTGTATTTCTGAATGCTCTTGCTGTGCTAGATGACATTTCTGTCAATTCTGCTCAAATTGCTTTGTTAATTTAATGTAAATTCATGATATGCCACCTTGTGGAGGAGTTTGGGGTCCCCAAATCTTACTGCCTGCCCACTACGGCTGTACAACCGTGTGACTGGAGTGGTTTCTTAGAAGTGCCAAGCTTATAAGACATGCAGCAAAACTGAACTGAATTTGTGTATAAAAGTGAAAGATGAGTAAAAGTGAACACCGCTCTTTTTTTTGCCTGCATTGTTCTCCCTCCTGCCATCAGGGATCAGACATTCACACATCTCATACACAACTCCAGTTTTTTGTGCTAATCTGTACATTATATATACACATTCGTGTGCACCAGGATAAGGTCACAATATCTGAACATTAGCTATCCTTTTGCTGATACGACAAACGTTACCTTTCTTTGGTTCTAACTTGGCGTGATCAAGCAGCGTTATCCCGATAAGAAAGTAGTAGCCAATGCCAAGACAATACTGAGCCACGTGAATAACTCCATTGGAATAGATGCTGACATACAGACACTCTGCTAGTCTTCTCAGGCTGTGCAACCATATTAAGGATAGAGCCAGTAGAGTGGAAACCTCTCCACCTAGATTTCAAGACGTACAATGAATTCATGAGGATAATGCTATAGATTTAACTTTAAAAATAACAGGATCTAAAAATAACTTAAACTCCTGATCAGAGTATGTGAAATATAATATTTGCCCTAGCACACACTTTTAGGAGCCAAGGATGTGAGCTTATAATAAACAGGATCAGACTGAAAAGGTAATACACCAGCTGTAATGCCTGAGGCACACTGCCTACCTGGATTGTCATAATTATTATTATTATACAGGCATTATATAGCACCACCAGTTTGTGCAGCGCTTTACAATAGAAGGAATACATTACAGTTATAATACAAATCAAGACAAGATGGTTAGGAGGGCCCTGCCCATGGATGCTTACATTCTAAAAGGGGGACAAGTGATACATGAGGTGGTAGCTGTGTGGGGGTGAATTATTTAAGCAAGTAATAGTTCAATGGTTAGGATGTAGTAGGATAGGCTTCCCTGAAGAGATAAGTCTTCAGGGATCACCTAAATGCAGACAGAGTAAGAGATAGACAGACAGGTTGTGGTAGGGAGTTCCAAAAGATAGGAGATACTCTAGAGAAGTCCTGGAGGCAAACATGGGAGGAGTTGACGAGGGAGTTAGAGAGCAGGAGGTCTTGGGAGGAGCGGAGAGGATGTTTAGGGGGATACTTTGAGACAGGGTTGGAGATACAGCCGGGGTGCAGAGTTGTTGATGGCTTTGTAAGTAGTTGTTAAGATTTTGAATTTTATCCTTTGGGTGATTGGAAGCCAGTGCAGGGATTGCAGATACTGAACAGTTGGTAAGATGGATGAGTGTAGCAGCAGCATTCATGATAGACTGTAGGGGTAATACCCTGTGTAGAGGTCCGCAAAGGAGAAGAGAGTTGCAATAATCGAGACGAGATTACAAGCGAGTGGATGAGTAGCTTTGTGGTTTCATTAGTTAGGAAGGAGCATATACAATGCATGTATTTAAAACAAAATTTACATTGGAATCAAACTACATTTGACCAGCATATCATGAATGCTCCCCGTTAGGGTCCTGATGGATCGACAGCTTTTCTCTAATAGACATCTGATGTCTCCCCTGTACCTCCAACACGATCCATCCGGCACGATCCTGGCTAGTATAAGAGATCTAGGTGGCTGTACAGCCGCCCAGATCACTTGTAGTTTAGGAGCTGGCCCTGCCTGACGTCATTGGTTTAAAAGGTAGCCAGCTGTTCTAAAAGCCAATGACTGAAGAAGAGGGGGGCCTGCGCTGAGTTTATGGCTGAAAGTGGATGCACCAGCCGCGGAGGCCAGTGTGAGCACTGTCAGCCAGCCATAACCCAGCGCAGGTAGGCAACCACAGTCTGCCATTTAGTGACCTATACTCTGACTTTTAGAACTAGCAATTTGATACCTATCCATAAATCTGCTACCTATCCATATTTTGCCGTGTGAGAGTTTTATTGCTTACCTGATACCTTTTGTAGTGGCTCCCTGTTGAAGAAATTAATCAATGACTGCAGCCACTGGGGTATTTCTATACCAAACATCTGTGACTGAATAACTAACCAAAGCAGCGTCCCATTCCAGAAAACGGAGAGATAATAGAAGTGCGAGAACCACCTGTAGGTGAAGAAAAAAAAAAAAAAAAAAAGTCAAAATATGAATACAATGAATATCAATCCAACACAGCTGGTATACAGGAAATTAAATTGTTACTTATTTTCACAGGAAATCCCCAAAATTCACCAGCATAGGTTGTGTCATCTCCTGTTGACCCCGACAAGCCAGTGGCTCTTACCTGTCCACGGTGCTCCCTGACTGACCATTACAGCAGTATACCTTATGAATGTATGTGCAATATATTGGATCAATTGTGCTCCTGAAACGCGTTGGCTTCTTTTCATGTGCAATAAAAGCTTACTGGTTTCATACTACTACTGTAGCACTTCCCCCTTTTCCTCCAACACTTCACTCACCACTTTGGGGATCCCCTAATGACAGAGAGCAGCCTCCGATTTTGAAATAACAATTGTTATTTCTACGTAGGAGTCGAGTCCAGTGCTCTACCAACAAAAACGTTGTTCTCGCTAGGGGGCGCGCGCGAGCAGAAAAAAATTGCCGTCTGGAGACGGCAACCCGCAGATGCTGCAGTGCCGTCCGTCCGTTTTTTTACTACGGGCGGACGGCAAGAGGTTAAAGTAAACATTTGGCAAGAAGTAAAGTTGAAAACACGCCACACAAGCTGAAACACATGTATGTACTTCCTGAGGGCATTTGAGCAAGTAGAGACTTTCTTGTGATCACTATTTGAAGTCATAAACCCCGGCCTGATGAAAGGTTGGTGAGGACGGGGAGCATGCCTATTCCCCACAATGGAGAATTAGAGATGGAGGAGTGCTGCCTGGAGCCCCTTGCTTCATCAGATTATACAAGGAAATGTATGTGCCGTCAGTCCATCCTGTGAGCCAAGTTCTACAGATGGTAGTTTCACTACAATAAGTCTTACCATAGGCTTGCTTTAAATGACTACAAGTGGAAACCGGAAACAGTTGTGTGATTTTCAGTACAACACTGTGCTCAATGGTATGAGCTTTTTGGTAGGTTTGCTTTAACCGCTTGAAGACCGCGGTGTTTCACCCCCTTCCTGGCCAAGCCCTTTTTCAGTGTTCAGCGCTGCGGTACTTTGACTGACATTTATTCCGTCACGCAACGCTGTACTGAAATGAATTTTATACCATTTTTTGGGGACAGATAGAGCTTTCTTTTGGTGGTATTTAATCACCACTACGGGTTTTATTTTTTACTATATTCAGGAGAAATTACTGAAAATTTATGTTATAAAAAAACTAATATTGCCCACTTTTTTGGTAAAATATAAAAGTCGGGGTCACGTCGGGTAAATAGACACCAAACATGTCAAGCTTAAAAATTGCGCACACCCGTGAAATCGCAAAAAACTAGCATACCCAAAATTAGCCATAGGCGACGCTTTAAAAGCTTTTACCGCTCATCAGTTTAGTGTTCAGTGATTGATGGCGCTAGACTTATTGCTCTCATTCCGACGTTCGCGGCGATATGTAACATGTGCGGCGTAATGGGCGCAATCGTCATTTTCGCAGGTTTGCGCAGCTGACGCATGTTTACATGCGTGTATGTAGGGGTGGGGACTTTAAAAAAAAAAATTGTGTTTTTTTAATTCTTTTTTGTGTAACTTTAAAAAGAATTTGGGGGGAAACTTTAAATTGTTTTACTATTTTTTTTTCCACTTTACTTTATTGCTATCACAGAGGGGGCTGAGAAACCCCCTTATGTGATAGCAAAAGAGGTGACAGGTCCTCTTTATGGAGACATCAGGGGTCTCCAAGACCCCTATGTCACCTAGGACCCCCCTGAAGAAGCAGAGATCTGCTTCATCAGCTTCTCTCCAGCATCTGAAGCTGGAGAGTGACACGAGAATGCAGAAGTGATGTAATATACACCACTTCCGCATTCTGACAGCGGAGATGGGACCGGAGGGAGCTCGTGTACCGAGCTCCCTCTGATCCCCTGTGACAGGGGCACTATGCTGGTCCCGGGCTCACACCGGAGCCCGGGACCAGCTTGACAGCGAGAGGGGCGGAGGCGCACGTCTCGGCTCTATAGCCGGCGGATCGCTTGTATATTAACGGGCATCGCTGCCTCTTTTCAAATAGCGGGGATTTCCGTGTATACACGCCCAGTTATATCCAAGAAGCTCCCGGCCGGCCGTGTATACACAGCGGCTGGCCGGGAGGTAGTTAAAGGAGAACTATGAGGTGGGTGTTTCTCACTCACCTCATAGTTCTAGCCGACCTGTGACAATGAGACTGTCACAGGTCGGCTCAGTAGATCGGGAGGTGAGCGAACACATACTGGCGCTCGCACACTTCTCGATCCTGTCACTGCTCTCTGCCGTGACATGGGAGGGGCTGGATTCCGCCCTCCCCGCTCGGCCAGCGCTGACTGGCGGAACGGACGGGGGAGGGGGCGGGTACAGCTGGCTCTGCCTCTAGATAGGCAGAGCCAGCTGTCACTCACGTAGCTGGGCGGATCCAGACATAATTGTCGGGATCCGCTTCAGCGTCTCAGTATACCGCGAGCAGTAGCTGGCGGTATACTGAGCCTAGGGTGAGGGGAGGACGCTAGTTTGTGTCCTCCCGTTACCCTTAGGAGAACTATGAGGAAAAGCCCTAACCCCATAGTTCTCCTTTATAATACAGAAACAAAGAAACAGGCAACTCAGTATGGTGTAAGAGCTGAGCATATGCAGGTATGAATAAAGGGAAAAAAAAAGGGGGAGGAAGTGACAGGTTGATGCTCCACTGGGGACACAGTCCGCTGAAGTGCTTCCTCATCAGAAAGGGGAACTCACTATCTTAACGTCTTACTGGAAAGAGAAGTAACTCAAACCTTCTCTTTTGTCTTTACTTCTCTTTTGGGTCACATAAATCTATTTACTAATGTACTCCTGTGCCCCAGGATCAGCAGATAGCAGGCTTTTGACCACAAACACAGTCACAGTCAGTGTGTTCCAGTGCATTCTGATGCATTTGTTTACATGCGCTTTGGTGCATTCCAGACCAGAACAAATAGTGCTGCATTAGTTTGTTTTTAAAACATTCTGGAACTGAATGCAATGGTGTGAACTAGCCTCACTTTTTTTTACCATAGGAATGATTTGGGATGAGTTTTTTGGACCGGACAAAAAAAGTACCGATCTGGACCTGGTCCGGACATGGTGTGAATGGGAACTCAAAGTGTATGTAAAGGAAAAACCTTTTTTTTTTTTTCTATCTTCATTACTCTATTTGTCCTTTTGACCACTGTCCTCATGCCAGAAAGTGAAAACAAATCTAGGGCTGCAACAACTAATCGACATAATCGATTATAATCGATTATTGAAAAAGTTGTCAACTTTTTCAATAATCGATTAATCGGCTTCCGATCAGTTGGCCCTGTTCACAGCTCCACACGCTGTGCGCCGCACCTCCTCCCCACCTCACGCTCGCTGCTGCCAGACCCGCTCGCATCTACGCTCCACACGCCGCACCTCCTCCCCGCCTCACATTTCCTGCCCATCCACGATCGGCAAGGCACGCGGGGAGATGTAGTAAGGAGGAGCAGGGGTGGGGGGATGACAGCAGCTGATAGACAGGTCCAATCTCAGAAGCAAGTTGCTGGAAGACTGCTCAGGTAAGCCTGCACTTTCCCACACATGGTGCTCTATAATGTATTGCTGGGATTTGTATTCCTCTATAGCTGATGGTACATTGTGCTGTATATTATACATAGGAATACAAATCCCAGCAATACATTATACACTGTATGTATAATGTATTGCTGGGATTTGTTGTACTCCTCTATAGCTGGTGATATTCTGCATTGCGCTGTATAGAGGACTACAAGTCCCAGCAATAATACATTATACAGCGCAATGCAGAATACCACCAGCTATAGAGGAGTACAACAAATCCCAGCAATAGTACATTATAAAGTGGTACAATGCTAAATACCACCAGCTATAGAGGACTACAAAACCCAGCAATAGTACATTATACAGCGCAATGCAGAATACCGCCAGCTATAATGTACTATTGCTGGGATTTGTTGTATTCCTCTATAGCTGGTGGTATTCTGCATTGTGCTGTATAATGTACTATTGCTGGGTTTTGTAGTCCTCTATAGCCGGTGCCATTCTGCATTCATTGCTGTATAATTTTACACTTTCCATTTCACTATATTGCACACCACACTATCTTTTTTTTCTTTTTTACTTCCACCGGTCCAAGCTTGCTCCTGTGATGGACTACAACCTCAATACAAATTAGTAGTCCTATCACTGGAGCCATTTTTTAAACTTTATTTTATAGTTTATCCGATTAACCGAACTTAATAATCGGCTAACTAATCGATTTTGAAAATAATCGTTAGCTGCAGCTCTAAACAAATCCCTAAAGAAGAACTCCAGGTAGAATGTTTTTCTTAATCCTTGCAGTGGGACTACCCTCAAACTGCAAGGATTAAGTGCTTGTTTTTGTCTAGGTGCTAATATAACAAAGTTATACTAACCTGATCCCCCAGTCCTGTCACAGCCATCCCTCCAGCCTCTCCTCCTCCCTGCAGCACTGGAATCTTCCTCAGTGTCCCCAAATCTATGCACTGTGTATAGACATGATGAATACGGGACCTTACATCACTATAGAGGAGGTGGAGAGAGGCTCCAGGAACCAGTCTAAGAACAAGCTGGCTCAGAGCATCGGGTGAGTATAACTTTTTTTTGTAACCTAGACAAAAACAAACAGTTAACCCTTGCAGTGTGGGGGTAGCCCCACTGCAAGAGTTAATCATTTTTTCCCCGGAGTTCTTCTTTTACTGGTCAACCAAAACAAAAGATGAAAATAAGGGCCCATTCCCACCATTGTGTTATGCTAAATGCAGGGGAATCCGTCTGTTCAGTGCACATTATCACACAGCACCACACAATAGCCATATGCTATTACACAGCACCACATGCTGGGTGCAATGCATCACTATTTATCCTCAATGCTACCCAAGTGCACGTGTAGCGCAATAATCTGAGTAACGTAGTTGGGTGGTGGAAAAAAATAATGCATGCACTAGTTTTTTGTTATCACCGCATGGCAATACGTTACTGCAATACCACGTATTGCTGCAATGCATGCCCGCTGCCAGGTGGATTGGTGTGCCATTGAGAATGAATGGTAACACACTAGTGCACCTAGCGTGCGGTACCATGCAAGTTGTGATAGCATAAGGGTTTATTGCCCTTTATTGTCACTGGGCCCTAAAGCTTCCAAAAGGGACAACTGGCTACAGGGCAATACCCCTCACTTTGCAGAGAGTTGCTCCAAATTACAGTGTATGGGTCTGGAAGTGAAAACTCACAAACGGGACACATACAGCAAACAAATAACCAATACGACATTTAACCCTTACCTACTCTATACAAAACAAAAAGGTTTTGAATTTCCATACATTTTAATATCCCTTTAATTCCCTTCTCCATACCCGAGCCCGGTGTCATCAGATGGGACACTCACCTCTTAGGCAGATCGAAGCAGTGCAGCCACGCTGGGCGCCCCTGTCCGATCTTAGTCTTCCCATAGCGGATGAGATCCTGGAAGATGGCGCACAGTGTGGAGCCCCGCCGGCCACACTCTCCCAGCACATGGAGGAACAGAGACACAAGGAAGGCGACATCTAACAGGAGCCAGAAGACGGCAATGACACTCAACTCTGTGCCTGGGAGGAGCAGCATGGCCGCCTGACTGACACCTAGCTTTATTGACACACACCCTTCCTGCGCCTCATCCTATGACAGCATGTGTATATAGAAACAACGTCCCTTTATTGGTCAGGAAACTTCCATATACTATAACAGGGCTCCCCCTTTATTTATCCAGGAACTAGTTCGCTCTATCTTGTTTCTTACCGGTGTTGTGTCGACGGGGAAACAGAATTCTACACAACACCGGAACACAATAATTGAGGCACACTGTGAATCTTATTTCTAAAGACCGATTTAGTGTGACTGTACGAATACGAAATGCCGCTTACTGGTTTGATGGAACGATTCAGCTGCTTTATAATCCCTACCGGAACATAAAAATGGATGCACACTGTGTCTTATTTAGAAGGACCCTTTAATGTGCCCCTAGGAGGTGCCTGTATGAAATGCAGCTTTCTGATTTGATGAAAGTTTATAGGCGCTTTCAGTGGCTTCTTTTTTGAAGTGACACAAACGACCACATAAAAAATTGTAAGAGAAGAGTTATACTTACCTCTACCTAAGGGTTACCATCCTTTTCTCAAGCGAAACCCGAACAGTCTAGCATTGCGCTGATATTTTTTTGTGGAATGGGTCGTGACTTATTCATATGTAAATAGCGCCACCCATTCATATGTACTGTCATATCACACTTGAGACTATTTCCAGTAGCCCCTATCTTAATTTTGGTTGCCCCGTTCTACCTGACATCTTGTGCCCGGATTTCTGCTGCCATGAAACCCGGACACAGCACTTAAAACCCGCACTGTCCGGGTGAATCCTGGACAGGTGGTAACCCTACTCTACCTTTCCTCTGTTCTGCTGCTGCAGCCTCCATAAGACTCTATAGTAGGGGTAGCCAAACTTAGGCCCTCCAGCTTGTGTGGAACTACAGGTGCTATAAGACATTGCAAGACTCTGACAGACACAAGCATGACTTCCACAGGCAGATGCATGATGGGATTTGGAGTTTCACTACAACTGGAGGGTCGAAGTTTGGCTACCACTTCTTTAATGCAGTGGTCTCAAAGTACCGGCCCGCAAGCCGTTACTTTGTGGCACGCAGCCAGCTCACAAGTCAGGTACGTACCTGCTTGCGGGAGGAGCTACACGGTCTGCACCTCTGTCGGATGCAGACTGCAAAGCTGCTCCTCTGCCGGCACTCGGATCCTTTCAGGCCAGCGCTCTGAAACCCTTCACTGAACACTGGCCAAAAAGGATTGATTAGTAAGGTTTGCAGCAGACCCTACCAATCAATCACAGGGATCGTGCCTCCTCCCTGCAAAAAGGTAAGCAGGAGGGGGGAATCTGTATTTTATGTGCGGGGGGACTGGGATTTTATTTTATATGTGGGGGGGAGTGTATTATTTTATTTGTGCAGGGGTAGTATTTTTTTATGTGTGGGGAGGGTGATGTATTATTTTATTTATGCAGGAGTAGGGTTTTGTTATGTACAAGCGGCAGCTGTCACCTGTCAGGTTAATGATCAGGTGACAGCAACTGCATGTAAATGCCTGCACACCGCATGTAATTATATTATTACATTCGGCTAGGAATCAGTCACTCTCCCTGGACGCATCGATTGTGCATCCAATGTTGTGCCCAGGTATTAACCCTTCCCTGACACCAGACAGCCCTTATACTAACCCTTCCCTGATACCCCACCGCCCTTATACTAACCCTTGCCTGATACCCCTCTGCCCTTATACTAACCCTTCCCTGATACCCCACTGCCCCTATACTAACCCTTGCCTGATACCCCTCTGCCCTTATACTAACCCTTCCCTGATACCCCTCTGCCCTTATACTAACCCTTCCCTGATACCCCACTGCCCTTATACTAACCCTTCCCTGATACCCCACTGTCCTTATACACTAACCCTTCCCTGATACCCCTCTGCCCTTATAGTAACCTTTCCCTGATACCCCTCTGCCCTTATACTAACCCTTCCCTGATACCCCACTGTCCTTATACACTAACCCTTCCCTGATACCCCTCTGCCCTTATAGAAACCTTTCCCTGATACCCCTCTCCCCTTATACTAACCCTTCCCTGATACCCCACTGCCCTTATACTAACCCTTGCCTGATACCCCTCTGCCCAGGTATTAACCCTTCCCTTATACCCCACCACCCTTATACTAACCCTTTCCTGATACCCCACTGTCCTTATACTAACCCTTCCCTGACACCCCACTGCCCAGGTATTAAACCTTCCCTGATACCCCTCTGCCCTTATACGAACCCTTCCCTGATACCCCTCTGCCCTTACACAAACCCTTCCCTGATACCCCACTGCCCTTATACGAACCCTTCCCTGATACCCCTCTGCCCTTATACGAACCCTTCCCTGATGCCCCACTGCCCTTATACGAAACCTTCCCTGATACCCCACTGCCCTTATACTAACCCTTCCCTGACACCCAACCCCACTGAATAGTTCAGGGGTAGACAACCTCAGGACTCCAGCTGTGGTAAACTACAAGTCCCATGAGGCTTTGCAAGACTCTGACAGCCACAGGCATGAATCCCAGAGGCTTGATGGGATTTGTATTTTCCCCACAGCTGGGGTGCCACGTTGCCAACCCCTGGCCTAGGTATTAACCCTTTTCTGAGACTCTACTGCCTAGTAGTTAATAACCCTTTCCTGACACCCCACCCCCAGGTATTAATCCGTACCTGATACTTCACCCTCCAGGTATTAGCCCTTCACACCACCCCACTGCCCAGGTATTAGCCTTCCCTGACACCACACTGCCCAGGTAATAACCCTTCCCTGATACTCCACTGCCCTGGTATTAACCCTTGCCTGACACTACACTGCCCAGGTAATAACCCACTGCCCAGGTATTAACCCTTGCCTGACACTACACTGCCCAGGTATTAACCCTTCCTTGATACTCCACTACCCATGTATTAGCCCTTCCCTGATACTCCACTGCCCTGGTATTAGCCTTCCCTGACACCACACTGCCCAGGTATTAACCTCTCCCTGACACCACACTACCCAGGTAATAACCGTTCCCTGATACTCCACTGCCCTGGTATTAGCCCTTCCCTGACACCATAGTGCCCTGGGATTAGCCCTTCCCTGACACCACACTGCCCAGGTATTAACCCTTGCCTGACACTACACTGTGCCCAGGTATTAACCCTTCCCTGATACTCCACTGCCCAGGTATTAGCCCTTCCCTGATACTAACCCTTGCCTGATAACCCTCTGCCCTTATACTAATTCTTCCATGACACCCCACTGCCCAGGTATTAACCCTTCCCTGATACCCCTCTGCCCTTATACTAACCCTTCCCTGATACCCCACCGCCCTTATACTAACCCTTCCCTGATACCCCACCACCCTTATACTAACCCTTGCCTGATAACCTTCTGCCCTTATACTAACCCTTCCCTGATACCCCACTGCCCTTATAGTAACCCTTCCCTGATACCCCACTGCCCTTATAGTAACCCTTCCCTGATACCCCACTGCCCTTATACTAACCCTTCCCTGATACCCCTCTGCCCTTATACTAACCCTTCCCTGATACCCCACTGTCCTTATACTAACCCTTCCCTGATACCCCACTGTCCTTATACTAACCCTTCCCTGATACCCCACTGCCCTTATACTAACCCTTCCCTGATACCCCTCTGCCCAGGTATTAACCCTGATTGTACAATAAGGTTGCAACATGTGTGGTGAGCTTTAGAGCTACCAACAAATAGATCTGCCTGATCATATAGCAGTTGATCCTTGGTATTCTGCATTGCGCTGTATAATATATTATTGCTGTGATTTCTAGTCTTCTATAGCCGGTGCCATTCTGCCATTTTTTAAAATGTATTTTATTTTTTATCCGATTAACCGATTAATCGAACTCAATAATCGGCTAACTAATCGATTTTGTAAATAATCGTTAGCTGCAGCTCTACCTCATATTACAAAGTTTTTGTAAAGTTTGGAGACCACATGACAAGACACTAAGTAGATCATGAGCCAGAATGGACACAATTTATACAATTCAAATTGGTACTGAATTGACCCTGCAGTGACTATAAACAGTAAATCAGTAACAGGAACTAAAGCTTTCTTCAGGTGCACCTGGGAGCCCCAAAACCCAGAGGGGGGGCTCTATTATACAAATGACTTTAGTTATACAGTGCCACTTTACCCCGCAGTCTTCTGCCTCTCATGCCATACTCTTGGTTAGTAATGTTCCCCATCACATAAACAGAGCAATGGCGAGGCTTGGGGTGGAAGGATAGAACAAATGTCAGTTTCCTAGATGAACTTGGTCTTTGCTAAATAGAGGCTCCCCAGGGTTTTGTTGGGGTGGTCCTGGAGAAAGCTGAAGGTATGTGCAGGTACTTGGAGGTAGCTGGTATTGATTCCTTAGCCCTCGTTCACACCTGAATGTTTTGTAGCGCGTTCTACGCTCGACGAACGCTCTACAAAACGCTCAAACATCTAAATCCCATTGTATTCAATGGGTCTGGTTCACACCTTGGCGTATTTCAGCCCGTCCCTAACGCGCTACAAAACGGCCCACGCCTGAAAAGGTACATGTACTACTTTGGGCCGTTTTTGTTGCGCGTTTCCATTGGGATACAGCCAAGTAGCCCTCGGAAACGCGCGTTTGTCGCGCGATTTGTTTACCGCGAATCTCGGTTAAAAAAAACGCGCGACAGACGCGCATATGCAATACGCCTAGGTGTGAACCAGGGCTAAAAGGCAGTGCGCTACACACCGCTACAGGTCTGCTTCCAGTAATCAGAGACTGAGATAAAAAACACTAACTTGTAAGAGTCATTTTCAGTGATAAAAACGTTCTTGTTGTGTGGCCGTAGTATATATCCTGTTGTGTCAATGCTCCTGTTAAAGCTATGTGAGATGGTTTGATAGAGAAGTGTTTGTTGATACAATCTGTGTGAATGCACAATGCTTGCCCCTTTGTCGGGATTTGACTCTGTCAGTATTCCACTACACATACTTATTTCTGTCATTACTCTCTTTGTTCAGAATGTTCAGAATGATCAAAACCCAGTCTGGGGTATTGATTGCCTGTCAACATGATCCTGTAGGCTCTTCACGCCTGTGATATTAGGA